TGCTTTTTATGATAACACTCTACTATTTTCATTGTTGCAGCTTTATAAAATTATTTATGTAACAAGGGATAATGTCTAAAACATGGTTCCCTATCTTCAAAAACACTGATTTTAAGGGCTGTTTTTATGTTCCTCTGCCAATTAGGTTAGATATTTCTATTTCTGCCTTAGGTGATATCAGAATTTTACTAGATATTGTACCAAATATGTGAACCCCTTTTCACACTATGTGTGTTTTGACTTTGTTATTTTTTACTAGTTAAAGAACACAGGTCATCATTCTATTTGTATTTTTTAAAAATCGTTACATCATTTTTTATATTTTTCACTGAGCACACTAATATCTCAGAATGAGGCATGCCAGGGTATGGAAGTGAACAACCAGTGGCCCAGTCACCTGAATCTTCAATAAGACTCATCCTGCAGATGGAACTGTTTATGCTTCCTGCTTCCACACCCTAGTTAAACCTGTCCACACAATTTCACATTCACCCTCTAAGTAAAGTTGGCATTCCAAATAGAGGCGTTACACACATTTGCATATTCCTACTTTACATATCCAGTTCATTATTTGTGCTTAGGGCTAATTTGCATCTACCCAGTTTCTTGTGACTGATTGGGACTGGCAGTCATGGGATATCCTCACTAAGCTTCTTCTGCGTCCCCCTGGCCTGTTCCTGTCAATTGCTTTGTGATAACAGCCAACATGGACATCAGCTGTGCAACTGGCTTCTCATGAGTGTATCTTGGCACCAGGATAGAGAACAGCAGCATGAAAGAGTTCTTGGAGGTGAAGAAGCATCTGCAGCAAGGATCTGAGAACAAGTTCCTGATTGAGCACTGTTTTCATTCCAACAAACAAATGCTCAGTTTAAGGTGGGACTAAGAATGCACTTTGGATTGAGTTAGTTCTCCTGCCAAGCCAACATAAGTCCCGTATCCATCTTCAACTCAAAGCTTTCTAGGAATTCCCCAATTCTATGAATGTTTTTCCTCTCAATTAGGATTAACTACACCCAGCTGATCACTTAATATAAGCTTTTGATGACCCCTCTGTTTTTTCAATTGAAAGAGTATTTTATTATATTTATCTCCTTTCAAATGTAATTTTGATGTAGAAAGGAAAAATGTGCTTGTGGTATGTAGCATAGTTTTTCTGTGAGGTTTTGCTTTTATTAGGATGCTGCATTCCCCAAATGCTGGCAAGTTTCTTAACCAGTCAGTCCCAGTACTACTGTGTACAGTTCATTTGCACAATAAAACTTTTGAGTTGTGTATAGACCAAATCACAAACTCTGCACAGATAGAGAATGTTCTCCTGTAGGGTAGCAAACACCACACTGGGAAAAGTGGGGAAAATGTGACGAGACTAGCAATTCTACTCACTGTGCTATTTTTTAATACTTGAATTTATATAAGTGCATTTGATGTCCAAGCTGCTTGAACTATTTCAAATATGAAAAGTGTTTTTGTCACTACACTATGACCTTGTTGATTTATGTTTCTATAAATATCATAAAAATGTTTAGACTATGATCAGTTGTCAACCAAAATAATCCCTTGTGAACTAAAGAAGGAAAAAATGTGATACAAATATCTTTTACTGAAAATCTGTTTTCAGAAATTCACATAGGAGTTGTGCTCTGATAGGATTTGTTTATATGATTTTGTTAAATTAAGTGATATGCAAATATTTGTGTGTAGGTTTATATGTTTGTGTATGTGTGTATATGTGCTTGTGTATGTATGTGCATGTTTGTATATGTGTGTGTATGTGTGTATGCATGTATTTATGTAAACTGTCTCTTTGTTCTCAGTATAATCAAACCTTCCATAATTACAATTGCCCTCTGCTCAGGTTTATATAATAATCATGAAAAGGGTTTCTTGCTTGTCATAGTTGTATCAATACTGTTTTTGAAAATGGTTCTCTTAGGTCATGCTTGTTAATTTGGTGGGATACTTGAAGTTGGAGAACAGAAGAGTAGGGGTTTATGCTTATATTTAAGATCATTTCTGTATCTGTGTGATATGTGTGATAGCGTTTCCTGATTACTTTGAACATTTTCTCCAAAGTGGTAAGACTTTCAGTAATTTTAGATGCACATGGGACTTCAGTATTTCAGTATAGAGTTAGCAGAACTAGATGATGCCAATGAAGCTGAGGAAGACCTTCCTGTAGAGAGGGGAGGAGCAGGAGCAGGGAAGAGGGAGAGGAAAGAGGAGAAGAGGAGCAGAGGAGAGAGAGGGAGGAAGAAGTGAAGGTGACCCTGTCATTCATGATTAGTGGAGAATGAAAGACAGCTTTGTTACTATAACTGGGACCAGAAGATATGAAACACAACACCAGGAAGCTCTCAATGAAATTCATAGATGCCATTTGAACTCAGAGTGGACTCTCAGCCTCATTGTAAGCGAGCAAAGACATTTAACTTAAAACAGTGATGCCTCAGTAGTGAAATAAATTGCTTCTACCTGTAGGACTTCTCCTTGTTATTAATCACAGCTCTGTTCATATTCCCATAGAAGCTCTGGCATGCCACTGATCTACCTAGTCTCACTATTTCCACTTTCATCACCATTACTGTTTCACTCTAGCCTCCTCTCCTCCTCTCTTCATTACAAAACAGCCATAGCAATTCTTTTCTACCTTTTGAGGGCTGATTCATCATCCTTGAAATAAAATTCAAATATTTAACTTTTTCCAGGCTGATGTGCAAAATATAGGTCTGGAAATCTAATTTCAGTTTCCTCTTTATATCCCAGCTATACACATGGCATCACCTCTTCTTGACATGCTTAGTAATCTGTGTTCTCAGGATGTTAGGAGTCATTGTACTTGACATTGTCTCAAACAGGGACTCTTTTCACCACTTCCAGGTCTCTGCTTAGATCCTGAACATATCTTTTGAGCTGAATGAACACTTCTAACACTGTGTTCTCTTCCCTGAATTGTGTTTCTAACATATCTCATCCTCTACACAATGTGTCTTTTTATTTTCTTTTCTCCACTACAGCAGTATAAAAATGTGTCATGCACAGTTCTCATTCTCTATATATTCCTGCACATGGAGCCACAACTGGCACATGGAAACTCCCTTAAAATAAATATTTGTAGGGGATGGAGAAAAAACTCAGTGGTTAAGACCACTTACTGCTCTTTCAGTGGACTTGAGTTCAGTTCCCAGCACATAGACACAGATGCATACACATAATTAAAAATAAAATAAATAAAAGACTGGAGAGAGGTAGTTCAACAGTTTCAGGGAAAGTACTACACTTTCATAGGAGTGAAGTTGGGTTCTCAGCCTTCTTCTGGTATGCTCCCCTCCCCAACTCCTATATACACACAATTAAAAATATAAAAATAAATCTTAAAAACAAATAAATATTTATATAATAGATACATGAAATGAATGAATGAATTCATGAATGAATACATTCATTGAGATGCTCCATTAAAATAAACTAATGATTAAGTAGGGCATACAGTGCACTACTTAATGGTTTCAATAATGGCTGGATTTAATTTCTGGATGAAGTTCTACACATCCTCATGTAACTGACATAACATGGTTAGGTAAGCAAGTTTCAGCACATTGTTAGCATCTAACTTGAAAAGCAAATTTTTCTTAACTGAAATATGTAATTATAAATAAGGAGGAGTCTATGGCCAAAGGTCAGAGTGCAGGTCAAATGCAATAAAACCTACAAACGCCATCAGCTGAATTACAAAGAGAAGCATAGCTTACAGGATGCTACCAGACTCACCATCCAAGATCCCCATGCACTGTCCTCACAGCACACAGTGGAAATCTAAGACTTTTATCTTCACCTGCAGGGTCTGCACACAAAAACCAGCTGAAGAGCCAGAGTTCTCTGCATCTTTTTAGCTCTGGTCTCCACCACTGCTGTCTTTCATCTTTGTCTAACTTGCTGATAGTTAGACCTTTCAGACTATCAATAGTCTTAATAATCATTGCAGTTTACATTGCTTCTTTTCAATGCTTTGTGCAGATTCCGCCCCCTTGCATTTCTCTTTATTGTAGACTGTAATCTAAGCATTTGTGATCTGAGTACATGTAATACATGGGTAGTATGTGGCCAAGCCAAGGGCTTTTAATACCTATGTCATCATGAAAATATCCTAAATCCATCCCTAAAATAACTGCTCCCATGTAAACTAAATGATATTTCACCCAAGGCCTCAGACCAAATGGTAGCTGATCACAAAAGGCATAACATTATGATGCATCCAAGAGGAATGTAAAGTTTTCCTAATATTCTGTCAAGTTTTCATAGATACATGTGTATATATAATATAGATTGAATTTGTATATGCAAGATTGCATATATATACATATATTGCATATATATATACACGTTTCTAATCACTTCTTGTTCTATAACCTCTTCCTCTTCAAATCATAGATCAAAAATAATTAAAAATGAATCTGTCCTGAAGATGTATAGACTTTTAAATTTTTCTTCAAAAACTATATTAAAACAACTATTTAAATATCATTTACTTTGCATTAAATATGAGTAATTTAGAGATGATTAATATGTATATAGAAGTACATAGGTTATATGCAAATGCATTTTGTAAGCAATATGAGCAAACATAGCTTTTTGTAAGGTGGACATACAGAGTAGAATGGAAGACTCCTGAACCACTTCTGCATGGATATCAACCAGTAACTAGCTGTCTACGATCTATAAAAGTAGCTTACGTGGGAGATGAATAATTGACTGGCATGAAAGGGTCCTTCATCACCTTCATTACATGTTGTAACCCCTCAAATCATGCCAGCCATATTGAAGATCTGTTTATACACAGAGTTTGAGCAACTTGTTTAAAGAATTGGAAGACAGTAGCTGTGATAAATATCTGTGGTCTTTGCCAGCTAAATGAAAATGGCTATTAGCTGTACAATAATTTTTAAAGTTTCAATAAACCCAGCAGGCACTTTAATAAGACTTCGTTATTTTTTTGCCAGGTCTTCTGTGTTGGAAATCAGGACTCTGCTCCCAGTGGAAGGAAAAGCAGGGGGATGTAGTTGATTTAAAGGACGATGTGCTGCAAACTGCTTCTCCTCTCGCTGGACAGGCAAGTCCATCATGTAGACTTGGGGGAAAACAATTAAAACTTTTTAAAAGTACAATATTTCAAATTCAGCAGAATGAAACCACTTTGAAGACCAAGACTCAGCAGTTAATGAAGTGCTTTTTCAATGGGCCATCTTCGAGTTACTGCCTCGAATGCTGCCCAGTTGAGATTCACTGGATGCTGCCATCTGTTGTTTGTTTGACAGCTGATGAAAAATGAAGTGTTCACTCCAGTGTTTCTTGAGCAAACATTTGAAAATGGTTACAAACATTTGTATTCAGGGCAGAGGACTCAGGAGAGGACATAGCACTTTTGCACTGAGTAGTGTTTCCTTTAGAGAGCTCCTGGAGCATATTAATGGCATTTTTTTTTTTTTTTTTGGTGGTGAGAACACTCTCTCACCAGAGGCTTCTGTCATCCAAAGGTGAGCTGGTTCTCTGGCCATCTGTTAGCCCAGTCTCTGGCTCCCATTCCTGTCTACCTGTTTGGATCCAGCTCTCTCTCTCTCTCTCTCTCTCTCTCTCTCTCTCTCTCTCTCTCTCTCTCTCTCTCTCTCTCTCTCTCACACACACACACACACACACACACACACACACACACACACACACACACACAGAAGAACAGTGGGGATAGGGAGGGTGTGGGGGAGTGAAAGAGAGGGGGGGATGGGAGGGAGAGAGGGAGGGGGAAGAAATCTAGGTCTTCTTAAGGTGTGTTTTACAGGAAAATAAAATATCTTTCCTCACAAGCTGTAACTCTTAGTTATTTCTTGTGGTTACATAGAATGTGGGTCCAAATGCTTCAGGTTGCATCCAGATTCGAGAAACAAATGCACCAAGACCTTAAAGGGAGAATAGTGGTCGGTTAGATCTGTGTTCCTTGGTGTAGCTCTTTCGAGCTTTTATGACCAAGCAAATAAGGATATTTAATGCCTCACCATACGTTTAGTGAGAACATTTTTAAAAGATACAGCCTGGCATTAATAAAATCTTACATTTTTCTTGATAGTACATTCGAAAACCCTGATTCATTGTTTACTTGAAAATTTTACCTCAAATAAGCAGTTTGAAAGCCAAATTATATTTGCCTGATGTGACATATATATTTAGGAAGCTTCACTATGGTTTCAGATCCATGAATTCTTTTGGTTGGTTGCCCTGATCTTATTTCAAATTTTGTTATTACCATTTTATATTATGCTGATATATTTACTGTTTGGCATGTAGGTTGGATATAGTTAGCTTTAATGAAACTGACTACACTTTTATCACACTATCTTGATGACCAGAATAATTTCCAGCAATAAGCAAAGGCTGATTGAAAGTGCCTAGGGATCAGGTCTGGAGATTAATTCACTCGTTCAGCCATCAAACAGATATCAGGTTTCTAATGAGGAAAGAAGTGCTTTGTCTAGGTTCCATAGATAGGGATGTTAATCATGTGAAGTCTTTAGAAAGAAATCCCAACTCTATCTGAAAGTATCAGGTGGTGTTCTCTCAGTCACTGCATCAAAGTCTTCATTTGAATGCTGTAAGGACTCACTGAGAAGTCTTCAAGTGCTGTGAAGATGAACATTCATATCTCACAAGTATATATATATGAGATGACAAGAAAAGGGTCAGGGTTAGAGGGTCTGTGGTTGTATAGAGAATGCATTGTATGGTGAACATGAACTGAGCGAGTGTGAATATGATAACGTGGTTCCTGATCTGGTATGTTTTTAGTGTAATATGGAGAAGGTCCATAGTAACATTATTTAAATCTAGTAGGTAGACAATGAACATTTCAAACTTGTTAAGAAATATAGATGTTTTCATATTCTCAGCACAAATATCCAAAAAATATTGATTAGGTGATAAATATATTAATTTATCTGACTGAATCTTTTTACATTGTAATCATGGAACCAAACATGTTTTACCCCGTATATCAATACAACCATCATTTATTAATGGGTGCCAGGAACTGAATTCAGCTCCTATGGAAGAACAGTGCATGCTCTTAAGTCCCTGAGTCATCTCTCCAGCCCCCAATTTACTTTTTTTTTTATTTAGGAGTGTGCCTATGTCTGTCTCTGTGTGTTTATATGTGTGTGCTTGTATTAGTATGTACCACATGTATGTGGATATCTGAGGAGGCCAGAAGAGGGAATCCAATCCCTGGCAGGTACACTTATAGGTGGTTGTGTTCCACCTGACCAGAATTCTGGTCCTCAAACCCAAGTCATTTCCAAATGTAGCATGGGTTCATAATGACTGAGCTATCTCTCCAGCCCCGATTCAATCTCTTGTTGACTGTATATTTACAATTTAACAATCGCTGTGAGAGTGGATTTAGATACCTGCATTCACATTTAAATCCATGCTAATACATTGTATAGCTAAAAATTTTCCTGGTCCCACACGGCTCTTGCGGTCCTGCGGTTCTGCAGCCACTCAGACCCAAATGAACACACAGAGGCTTATATTATTTTTAAACTATGGCCATGGCAGGCTTCTTGTTAGCTAGTTCTTATATCTCAAATTAACCCATTTCTATAAATCTATACCTTGCTATGTGGTTTGTGGCTTACCAGTACCTTTACATCTTGCTTCTCTTGGTGGCACCTCCTCTCTCTGTCTGTCTCCTTCCCCTCTCTCTAGTTAGAATGTCCCTCATAACTTATTCTGCCTCACTATTGGTCAAACAGCTTTATTTATCAAACAATCAGAGCAACATATATTCACAGCATACAGAAAGACATTCCCATTAACATTGGAATCCATAAACAAGTGGCAATTCATATAAAAAACTGAGGGAGCGCCAAAGAAAGCAAACAAAATGTCCTGGGTTGATGGATGGAACCCTCTGGAAATTTCCACTGAAATTCAGTCAGAAGATATAAGACTTCCCTGAGTAACTTGGGGATAATAAAGAGATTGTGGTGGTATGCTTTGGCAGCAGCATGTGGTAGAGTTTGATCACATGCTAGACACATGGCAGATTTATAAACATTGAAAGTAAACTTCTTTGTTATGACCTTAGGGATTCAGAGAAAGAAAACTGAATAGACCCTTAAAAGCTTTTTCAAAACTCTAAATCATGTACCCTGTGTTGCTTTGTATGAGCCCCAAACTTTCAAAGTCTAATTATTATTTGTTTGTTTGTTTTCTGAGACAAAAACAACCCATGTTAGGTTTACCTAATTTAAAATGCATGGCTGGAGTAACCTTCCACTGCACAAAATGAGGTAGAACTGTAAGACTTCATGCCACACCTGCAGTTCCCTGGCTTATTTTCCAGTGACATGAAAAATTGCGACTAGGGAACACAGTAGAATAGTCATATATGCTTCATGATCAGAAAAGACTACATAGAGGGAAAAGCTTCCTGCAAGCAATTGCCTGGGCCTCTCTATGCTTAGATTAATTGAACATAAAAGGCAACTACTGCACAGTTGTGCTGTGATCTCAGGGGAGTCCAGAAGAGCCATGACAGGACCCTGCTGTCATCAGCTTTTATGCTCACTAAACTGCTATGAGTCCATTTCCCAAGCTATGAACTGTGCTTACAGAAGGATGTTTAGCAGAAACCTGCCTGGGTTGATGTTGAGAGCCGTTCACTACCACGCAGTCCTGAGAACACAGTCCTGGGACAGAAGCAAAATAGAAGTGGGTACTTCTGTGTGTTTGCATATCTCCTGCCATTTTGAAAAATGCATTAAAATGCTATTCAATATTTTTTTCCTTTTCTTTTTTGTTCTGTTTTTTGGTGGTAAGGGGTTCTAGAGATCAAACCCGGGGTGTGCGAACATGCACACACACACACACACACACACACACACACACACACACACACACACACACACATACACGGTGAAGGGGAGTGTAAGGCAGACAAACAGACAAAATTCCCGGAAGTGGATGAGGACCCAAGGCTAATATATCTGTCTGTCTGAGCTACAATGTCCATTTGTCAATGGGGTTCTTTCCCTTTCTCCTTCTAAAACTGATTGCCTTGGACTGTTGTAGGGGGCTGGACAGTATAGACGAAGAAAGGGAAGTTAACTGCTTCCTGCTGTAGGACTTCCACCCTCTCCGACTGCTCCCTTCAGTCTTTGTTTTGGAGAGAGAGAGAGAACTAGGAAGCTGGCCATCTTAAAGGGTTAAGTGAACCGCGCATTTATCTACCTAGAGACTGGCTTCCCTGTCTGCTTTTCTCCTAGTCACTCACTACTCTCTTATCTTGGCTAGTGGATTATTTTGGGCTTTCTTAGTTGTGACTAAAGCAAGTTAATCCTAGCTCTGGATGTGTGAATCTCCCTAATCCCTCAGGAGATACTACCGCAAAGTGGAGTAGAGGATTAAAGCCAGTAATTCAAAGAATATTGAAGAGTACTTAACCATGCCAAAAAGAAAAAAGAAAAAGAAAAGGAATAAAAAAAATGTGAATAACAGAAAGAACTGATGTGGACATTTTTAGGGAGGAACACTCTTGTCCGATATACTCATATTTAATTGTTGCTTACTTCATTTAAAATGGCTAAGACACATTGGAAAAGGTTGCAAAATACTTTTAAAAAGTTCTTTGCTCGATTATAAAATGCTTACTGTTTTCCTTGTTTACTTTTGACTGTTGGAAGTGAGGTGATGACATACACCATAGCCCAGGCTGGCCTGGAACTCACTTTGTAGCCCAGGATAACTATAACTTCAAGTACTGTTCTGCCTCAGCCTTCCTTAGTAACATGATCTACCCATCAACTTGGACTCTGTCTTCTGTTTCTCTTCTTTACTTTTGCTTGTTGAGTTTCTATAATTCAGTTTATTCTTGAGATGAGGAATTGTTCATAGTCAAGAGTATCCAATTAGCTTAAATTTAAGCTAGTGGAAATAACTTTTTCACTCTTACAAATGACTTTCAATTCACATCCCCTCAGTTCTCAAAACTCAAGCATCAATAGTGGCAATAAATGCCTCTTAACCATCAAATATTAAATTAATTTCAGCTTATAATTTGAT